CAATAAAAGTATATCATTTTAATAAATAATTGACTAAATGTTCATACTCGTAAATAATGTTTTTAGTTACCTTCTCGGTTTTCAAGGTTTCACATTCGTTAATTTGGGTCGTACATCTAAGTTTGGTGGTTGAGTCTCCCAACATGAATTTTCTGCATACATAAGTATTCAAACTCGAAGTCTGTTTAAGCGATATTATGATGCTTACCACTTGAACCAATCCGTTAATACCTGTAAATAATTTTTTAAACACCTTACAATCCACTTGAATTTATCTCTCCTACAAATTGGGGGGGGGGGGACACATTATCACGTGAAAGATTCGAAAATTTAGGCTCTTCCAATGTGAGAATTCTCGAGGAAATGAGGGAATTTAGACAAATGTCCCAATGTATTCACAAATCTACATGTAAAGCTTAGGTTAAGTAGAAAGCACTAACATGGGGCATATCTATTTGTCCCCACGCTCCACATTCTCTCCTACAATTTCACATCAATCTCCTTACAGTTGGTAAAGGTCAATAATTTAAATTCGTTCTACTTTTAGCTATTGGTAAAGGTCAATAATTTAATTTTGAGGTGTTCTGCATAAATCAAAGATAAATATGAGTTGAAGCGAGATTTTTTTAGTTAGTTAAATTGATAAATCATATTTAACTAATTAAATTCTATTTAAAATTTTTTAAGTTGAATTGATTCAAATTAAATATATTTATTTGAGTTAAATTTAAAATAATAAGAATATTAAATTAAAAAAAATTATTCACAGTATGAAAAAAAATTTAAAGTCCAAACATATAGATTGGAGAATATATATATATATATATATATATATATATATATATATATAAACTTCTTTTAAAGAAAAAAAGAAAAAATTATTATGATAACTTTGGTTCGATAATTTAAGTGTTTAATATTACAATCTAATTAAATTTTAGCTAATTCAAAAATTAAATGGGTAAAGTACACAAATGGTCCCCCAACTATGGTACTACTTTATTGAATCATTTTACTATTAAAAGTTACAAAATGATCACCTGACTATTAATTATATTCTAAACTCGTCATTTTCTTTTAAAAGTTTGACAACAATTTGAGTTGTACGTTAACATGCTGATTGACATATGATAAAATATGATTTCATAATCTCAAATGAGTACCATATCTCGCCAACATGTTAATGTCCAGCTTAGACGACCGTTAATTTTTTAATGGAAAAGGACGAGTTTGGAACATAATAAATAGTGAAGTGACCATTTTATAATTTTTAATAGCTGAGGGACTCAACAAACCAACTCCCTATAGTTGAGGGACCATTTTATAACTTTTAATAGTAAAAGAATTCAATAAAGTGGTACATATAGTCGGGAGACCATTTGATTACTTAACCCAAATTAAATATTATATAATCAAATTTATTTTAAGAATATTTTAAAATTTAATGGAAATTATATATATTTTTGTAAATTTATAATTTTTTGATTTTTAATAATTTATGAAAAAATAATCTATTTTTTAATATTTAATGATTATTTTGAATTTTTATGGAGAGAATATCTTGTTCATTTCAAAATTGGTAGTAATCTAGGGAGTATATGATAAATTTGTTTCCAATCACAAAATTTTAACTTGATCCAATTTAAAAACGAAAAATTTATTCTAGTCAATTTAAAATTTAAATAATTCAATTGCATTAACTCAAATGTTAATTTTCTTCGATTTTTATTCAAATTAGAATTTGTTTACCCTCATTAGTTATTACAAATATCGCTAACTCAAAACAATTTTAACTTGAAGTCAATAAAACACAAAAGAGTAAACTACATCATATGTCCTTAAAGGATGACCCTCATTTTAAACTACTCCCTAATTTTTTTTTTATTTTCCAATTCATCTTTAAACCATGACTATTATTCTAAATTAATACTCAAACTTTTGAGCATCTTAGTTTCATCCCCAAACTATGACACTGATTCTAAATTAGTCCCAAACTTTTTGAATACTCCAATTTCATACCAAATTATAAGCATATACTAATTGCATCCCTTGTTAATAAAATCGTTAGGCCAAATTATATTATTATATGTTCAAAAAAAATAAAATTTAGGTTAAACTATGATTAAAGTTAATTACATATTTGGATGAAATTATGGATGGAATTGGAAAATTCAAATGTTTAGGGACTAATTTATAAAGAGGGTCATAGTCTAAGGATGGAATTAGAATATTCAAAAATTTAAAAACTAGTTTAAAATGAAAAACATAGTTTAGGGATAAAATTAAAATATTAAAAAATTAAAAATCAATTTAAAACGAGTGTTGTAGTTTAAGAACATGTGATATAATTAACTCAAGATAAAATGACCAAAAACCATATTAACCAGAGTTAAAATCAAAATAAATTAAAGGGTAAAGTATAGTAATGGTCACTGAACATTTCAGAAGCTTGCATTTAGGTCCCCCAACATTTAAAACTTACAATACAGTCCCCCAACATTTATTCCGTTTGCAATATGGTCCCCCAACTTAAACCACAGTTAGAAAATTAGGATAAATTATATAAATGGTCATTGAACTTTTCAGTCACTTGAATTTAGGTCCCCCAACTTTTAAAACTTGCAAAACAATCATCAATTTCATTCTAAACCCCAATTTCCAAAGTAATTCAATTTTATTCTAAACCCTAAATTCCAAAATACTTAAATTAAATTCAATTATGTCAAAGTTATTATTATTTAATTTCATCTTATTTCATGTGATACGTATTTTTTATATAAATATAATAGTATAATTCTTATCTGTTGAAGAAATTTTTTAATTAAAAAAAGTAGTTAGGATATAAAAGAGGTTGAAAATAATTCGAATTTTAAATTTATAAAATGTTATTTTGACGTATAAATAAAAGTGTAAACTACTCGGTTGACAACTTAACTATCTAGCCCTTTTTACTTTTGTCATCGATCTTTTAAATTTATCAATCATACCACATAATTATTTAACTGTTTCAACTAAGCCACTAGTCGTTACCAATTGATAAAATGATGATGTGGCAGTTAAAAGGAATTGACATTATTATACATTCAGTCTTTATTATTTATATAATCAATTTGGTCCTAAATTAAATAAAATTTAATAAATTAATCATTTAATTAGGATCTGACATGTGTTAGCACATGATCATGACACGTGTTACCACCTAATTATTTATATATGCTATCAATTTGGTCCTAAATTAAATAAAATTTAATAAATTAATCATTTAATCAGGATCTGACATGTGTTAACACATGATCATGATATGTGTTATTGGTGACACATGTCACCTCCTAATTAGAAGAAAATTAAGTTACAAAGAAGTAAAATTTGGGTCTTGGGCAAACTCAAACCTGAGTCACGCAAATGAAAGATATAGGGTGGAGCCACTAAGCTAACACCATCGTTTGTGTTAAGAGATATACAATAATACATATACTAATAGTATGACCAATGCCAGAAAAAAAAGAATATAATGTAAAATGGAAATAATGAGATTTGAACTTCGGCAAAAAATTTGAAAGCAATAAATGATGAGAAATATTATATTTTTACAATAAAAAATATTATATTTGATAAATTGTTTGATAGATTTAATATATTTTTTAAATATTAGTTGATACAATATTTTAAAAGAATAAATTTAAGATTTATATATTTTTAAACTAAATTTAATAATTATATTTTTCATATTTATAATTCATGATTATATATATAATCTTAAGTTGAGTATTTCTAATATAATTAATAATTTTAATTTCTTATTAAAAATAAAATATTCAAAAAATATAAATGATTCATACATTAATATATGAATATATTTTTTATTTATACATCTAAATATAAATATACATTTATATAAATATATTTTTATTCGTTGTGTCTGTGCCTTGAACTCTTTCTTCAAGCCTATATTACCTTAAATTGAAGTATTTTAGAATTTAATTGAAGTATTTTAGAATTTAGGGTTTAGAATAAAATTGAATTACTTTGGAAATTGGGGTTTAGAATGAAATTGATGACTGTTTTGCAAGTTTTAAAAGTTGGGGGACCGAAATTCAAGTGATTGAAAAGTTCAATGACCGTTTATATAATTTATCCTAATTTTCTAACTGTGGTTTAAGTTGGGGGACCATATTGCAAACGGAATAAATGTTGGGGGACTGTATTGCAAGTTTTAAATGTTGGGGGACCTAAATGCAAGTTTTAGAAATGTTCAGTGACCATTACTATACTTTACCCTAAATTAAAATTAAAATCATCCGAGCCTCAGGTGATACTAAATTTATATATATAAAAATCGACCCCTTTTAAACCGACACTCTCAGTATTCAAACAGAATAGTCATTCACCTTAGCTTTTGTGTTGATTGTTTTGTCTTGCATGACCCCGAATAACTACGAAATATTACTATCGGCTGAGGGTATTTCAGTCATTAGAGTACAAAAATAGCTAATGGCTAATCAGCATGGTAATAAGGGTAAATTACACGATTACTCACTTAACTTTACTATCTCTCCTATTTCACTCACCATACTTTTAAATTTTTCAATTTACTCACTGAACTTTGGACATTGAATTTTTTTGTCACTCAACAATTAAATTTTATAATAACGTTATGATGCTTATATATTAATTGAAAAAAAATTAAAATTATAGTGAATAAAATAGGAGAGAGAATAAAATTTAGTGAGTAAATATGTAATTTATCTTTTTAATTATAAGTCCTATGGTTAATGTTTTATTATTAAAATAAACCACATGAGCACCTCGTTACTGAATAAACAGTCGAGTGATCAAAAAAGTTCAATGTCTAAAGTTCAGTGAGTAAATTAAAAATATTGAAAGTATAATTAGTAAAATAGGAGAAAAGTAAAGTTTAGTGTGTAATTTAACCTGGTAATAAATATGGGTGCCATCTGGTAGATTCTTAAATTTTACTCTCTTTGCAGGCACTGGCGGTTGCACGCTTTTGTTGTTACTGAGTACTTCACACTATTAACCTCTCCAAATCCCCATTTCTGTTCCCTCTGGATGAGCAAATGGAGTACCATTGCAGGAGGAGTCCAAAAGAAGAGAGAAAATCGGCAGCCGTACAAGGTGGATCGCCGTTGCTGGTTACTGCAATGGTGACGGCAATGGCGTTTTCAAGTCTGGTTTTTGTGGCGGAATCTGCAATAGGTGTGAACTGGGGGACGGTTTCGTTCCACAAGCTGAAGCCATCCACGGTGGTGGATCTCTTGAAGGACAACAGCATTAAAAAAGTGAAGCTTTTCGAAGCCGACCCGTTGGTGTTGAGAGCTCTAATGGGGAGTGGGATTCAGGTCATGGTTGGGATTCCCAATGAGATGTTGGCTGCTCTCAGCTCTTCCTCCGCCGCTGCTGATTTGTGGGTTCGCCAGAATATTTCTACTTTTATTGGCAAAGGTGGTGCTGATATCAGGTAGATTTATTTCCTTTTTCTTTATGCTTTGATTTTTTGTTTCTGGTAGATTCAACTTAACTTGAACCAGATTCAAGAACATATGAATAAGGATCTCTTAGGTGAATCCATATATTGTTGTAGTGTGCTTGGTTATAGTCCTGGACACTAATTGTTTAAATTCCAGTCATATATGCTTCAAAAGGTTTCTAGCATCAGTTTGTTGATCGTAGCACCAACCAATCCGAATCCCAGTATGGATTTCGTATAGGCTCATGTTGCGGCATACTTCCCTGCAACCTTGACGATTAATGTAGTTTATCTGCGGAAGCTGTGAAATGGTATGCCGGAGTTCGTTTACTATTCCCCATAGGTAGCTGCTTGACCTATCCACATAGTATAACCTACACAACATCAATCAATGTAGTGGTATACGATATCTTTTCCACCCTTGACGAGTTACTTCATTAGTTCCATTCGATATTTGGAATTAAATGTCTTCTTCGTCGATGTTGTTCATCAGCCACGTGGTTGTTGGTTGGCTTGGGGTCGAAACGAGTTGAGGGAAAACTGGTGCTCTTGGGCTGAAATTTTCCTCTGCTTAGATAGTGGAGATGGTCTAGAAGTATGAATTTCTTATCTGCATAGTCATTTTTGTGTGAATGTGCTTTTTGACAATGGAATGTATGCCTACTTTCTTTTTCACCAAGGACCATAAAATAAAAAAATAATAGGATTCTGATGCATCTATTCCGATGAAATTAACCTGATATTTATCAAAGAACAGTAGGAAATTGAAGTCATTCTGTTTCTGTAAAAGTCTTCCGCTCCAGTTTAAGCCACATTTTGTAAAGTTATTTAACTCTGGTTGTGGTGACAGGTATATTGCTGTCGGAAATGAACCTTTCCTTACAAGTTATGCCGGTCAATTTCAGTCCTATGTTGTCCCTGCTATGGTCAACTTGCAGCAGTCTTTGGTTCGGGCAAATCTTGCCGGTTATGTAAAGTTAGTGGTTCCTTGTAATGCTGATGCATATGAAGCTAATGTTCCTTCTCAAGGAGCATTTCGACCGGAACTGACTCAAATCATGACCCAACTTGTTTCCTTCCTAAACCAGAATGGTTCTCCATTTGTTGTTAACATATACCCATTTCTAAGCCTCTATGGGAACTCGGATTTTCCACAAGACTATGCATTCTTTGAGGGCACTACACATCCTGTTATAGATGGTGCCAACACGTACTCCAATGCATTTGACGGAAATTTTGACACGTTAATTGCAGCCCTCGGTAAACTTGGGTATGGGAATATGCCCATAGTTATTGGGGAGATCGGTTGGCCTACAGATGGAGCGTTAGGTGCTAATCTCACTGCTGCTAGGGTTTTCAATCAAGGCCTGATCAAGCATGTATTAAGCAACAAAGGAACTCCTCTTAGGCCGAATGTTCCACCCATGGATGTCTATCTTTTCAGTCTACTTGATGAAGGGGCAAAGAGCACTCTTCCAGGGAACTTCGAACGGCAATGGGGAATTTTCTCCTTTGATGGACAGGCTAAATACGCGCTAGACCTTGGTTTGGGACACAAGAAACTAAAGAATGCCAAGAATGTTCAGTATCTCCCAGCTAGATGGTGCGTTGCAAACCCATATAAGGATCTCTCTGATGTGGCAAATCACATGAAACTTGCTTGTAATGCTGCCGATTGCACGACGCTCAACTATGGGGGATCATGTAATGCCATTGGAGCGAAAGGAAACATCTCATATGCATTCAACAGTTACTATCAGCTGCAAATGCAGAACGAACGAAGTTGTAACTTTGATGGACTCGGTATCGTCACTTTTCTAGACCCTTCAGTTGGTGACTGCAGATTTCTTGTTGGTGTCACCAATGCCAGTTCCGGTTTTAGCCCATATCAAAGGTGGGTAATCGGCTTTGTTTTAATTTTATGGCAACTTTGGGCGTTTACAATCTGAAAAAATAAAGCAGTTTCTAGGTGGGTTTGTCACGGTCCCCTCGCATGAAGCTGATATTTTCAACATGGAGTTATATGCATATATATATATAACATTCAAATGATTGCAGATTAATGTAGTATACTATTTTTATGTATAAAAGATTGGCTCATGGGTTTAGTTTGTATAAGCAATCATAATTTTCATGTAGAATACAAGAAGAATATGGATGACATGCTTATCCATATTCCCTAGGTCATGGTCCCTTGTATTGCATCTTAATTAGTTGCAAAGCTATATATATATATATTAAACATGGTTGTTCTTTCAATGCTATTACTTTGAATTACCTGGTAGTCATATGCCTAACAAATAGGTATAGATTGAAGATGGTTAAATGTATGGTTGTATTCTTAAAAATTTTAAAATTTTATATAATTTAGATTTTTTTTTTGTATTTTATAATGATAATTTATTTTTGTTGCTAAAATTTTATAAGTTCATCCCTTGACATAAAATCTTGCTTGCTCTCAAAGATAAAAAGGTAAATTATACCAATGACCACTTAATTATAGTCCATTTTCATTTCGACCATCATTTTAAATTCTTGTCAATCAAACTACTCAACTATTTAAATGCATTCAATCATGCCACTAATAATTAACAGAATTATTGACGTGGTAGGTAATAAAATTGGTTATAATTTTGAATTTTTTCCTCCAATCAAATGGTGACACGTGGTATCATCTGATGGAAGAAAAATAAATTGAAACAACATTATCATCGGGGGAGAGGGGGAAATCAAACCTGGGTCTCCATGGATGATATGCACAACCTCAACCACTGCTCCAAGACTGGATTTTGTTATAATGCTTGCATCAACTAATATTTATCTTATAATATAATGAAGGCCACAACAATAAAAATAAAAGCAACACTATAATGACTAAGTCCAACCTGGTATAAACTATTAGTTTATTCTTTTATATCTATATTCGAATCGGGTCGGGTTTACGAAAATATATATTATTTTTACTATTTAAATTATAATAAATAACTATAAATGTATTTTTAACTATTTTAAAGTATTAATATATTCGAATTGGGCGGGGTCAGGTTTAAGGTAAGAAATCACCGACCCTACCAAAACCGGTATAAATTACTAGTTTACATTTTTTAAATATTCAAAACGGATCAAGTTTAAGGTAAAAATATATTATTTTAATCATTTAAAATATAATAAATAATTATAAGTATATTATTTTAACTATTTTAAAATATTAATTTATTCAAATCAAGTCGGGATGAGTCGAATATAAACAATATTTTTTTGGGTGGGGCGGGTTGAATATAAACAATATATTTAAAAATATTAATTTATTCGAATCAATTCATTTTAGTGTTGTTTCTATTTTCACTATTCTAGCCTTCATTATATTATAAGATAATTATTAGATGTAAGCATTATACCAGAAATTAGTCTTGGAGCAATGGTTGAGGTTGTGCTTATCATCTAAGGAGGCCCAAGCTTGATTCCTTCGTATCTCTCGAGGACAATGTTGTTTTAATTTATTTTCCTTCCATGAAATGGTGCCACATGTCAACATTTGATTGGAGGAAAACAATTTAAATTAAATATAAATTAAATTAATAAAAGCCCTCTAATGATATCATGACACATGTCATCATATAGTTGGAGGATTAAATATATTGAATTAATTTAAAATTATGACTAATTTGATAGATTGTGAAAGTAATAAGGACTAAATGTTAATTAAACTAATTTTATTAACTGTCACGTCAACACTTCCATTATCGGTTAACGGTTAGTGACAAGATTGAATGAATTTAATTAGTTGGGCGGTCTGATTGACAAGATTGAATGAATTTAATTAGTTGGGCGGTCTGATTGACAAGAATCCAAAAGTGATGGTCGAAATGAAAATGAGCAATAGTTGAGTGGTCACTGATATAGTTTACCCAAGATAAAACTATATCGGTTGATTCTAAGGAATGTAGAGTATGGTGTACATTCTTATCGAGGAAAACAGGAGAATATTGATGAGCATTAATCTTGCAAACCTAACATTACATTAATTATTATCATAACATTCCAATTTTAGTATGTTGTGGAGTACGTGCAGTTGAAAGTATGGAGAAATTGATGGCTCATTTCTAAAAACAGCACATCACCGCAGCACACCTGGCGACATTAAAGCATGCAGTGTTCCCCAACGAAAAAGCAGCAGCGACAGCCTGCAAATATCATCATCATCATCATCTTGAAAAACTTCATAACCACTACACGGTTAAATTGCAACTGACAACACGTTCTTCATCACGTAGGTAGGAGGGTAAAGTTTTTTTACAAATATTCCAAAGCGTCTTGAAACAAATCTTATTTTACATTATATGCACCTGACCGGCTTTCAAAAGTGCAGCAATGTCTTTGAAAGAAAGGTGCACTTGTTTTGCCTAGAAATTTAGAACCCACTTCGGCTTTGTTCATAGCCATCAGGTTTTTCCCAGACTTGGGGGATAATTTATATACCATTATTTTCTAGGACCTGTATTGTCTGATATTAATGAACACATAATAAACCATGACAGCAAAAAATGAATGGACACAGATAAACTGCTTTTCCAGCAATGAACTGTTTTCACACAACCTAGACAGCAATGGCATCAAATACGCATGCTGTAAGAGCTTCAGCAAAACAAAACAAAAAGATTATTTACGCAACATACTTCAAAACCTTGAAATGTTTCAAGTCTAGTCATAAATACCACCAGCTCATTAATAATACTGCACAATAAATAAGGACATGCTTGTACCATTTATTCAAAACAACACTAAATATTTAAAGGAATCTCCAAGCATCAAATAGGCACAGATAGAAACCCATACATCCTAGGAAAGAACACATGGGCTAACCTATTGATTAGAAAATAATATCTTCATCCTTCTCCCTGCCAGCAGATATCAAATTGTGACCTGACTTCATTGAGACCCCTTTTTTTAGTGAAAACTGATCCTCGGCCGACAGCTTGGCATCTGCAAGCTTTTTCTCCATCTCCCTCTTCTTATAAGCTTGTATCTTCTTTAACCTAAAGAAATCCTCCCTTTCAAGCTCATCCAACTCTCCCCTGATGTAGGTTATCGTATTCTCCAGCTTTGGTTTCACAACATTTTCTAAAGCATTAACCCTACGATTTGTAGTCTTAATTGCCTCATCAAGGGTTAAGAATGATGTCTGGAGAGAAGCAAGCTCAACTAGAACCTCAATTGCTTTCACATAAGCAGCACGACACTGTTGGACCTGTTGCCCTCCTCTGGCCAAACCAGTCAGATCATTCTTGCTCTCACCTTCTGTGAAATACTCAAACTTGGGAAGCTTCACTCCAGCAACGTTCTCTTGTCGGGATCGAACTTTAAGATTAGCAGTTTTAACATTCTCAAGGACAACATGTTTGATGTTCTCACCAGCAACGTACTTAGCCTCAGTTAAGGAAAATGATGAGGTTTTCATAGTCTCTCCCATTGATTCTTTTGTAGAGACTATTTTCTTAAGAATCTGACGAAATTGTACAGTTAGGGCGTCACTCTTCTTCTTAAGGAGCGCATGGCCTCTTGTAGCACCCACAAGCCGAGCTTTCATGATTCCAAGCATTGTAACAGTTGGAACCACATTCAAGCGCTGGGTTTGACCAGACATTTTCCAGGTATCTGTAGGTCGGATAAATAAAAGGAAGAAACAGAAAAGAAAGTTGGTTAGCCTAACTTCAAAAAAGAAGGAAATAAACTTTCTTTCAATCTCAAAGGCCTGTCATCAACCCTTTAACTTTAGTCAACATTTTTATCAGAGCAAATAAATTACTGAAGAAGATCTAAGTACTGCAGAGAACCATGGAGCACAAAATAATATGTCAAATTCTATGAAAGAATTTTCTGATGCACACATCTTTTCAGCAACCATGAAACTAAATAGGAGATGAGCAAGTTCACAATATAAAAATAGCAAACAAATGTGTAAATTAGAAAGGACAAAAAAAGCTATGGTATCCGATCTAAAAGGAGCCAAAAGGGTAGATTTAGTATAATATTCATATCCAGCATAGCTAATTTTCCCTTATTTTTAAAATTTTTTTTCCTTCTTATATAGCAGGAAGTAGTTGGCAGCCAATAGCTGACATACCTGTATAACCATTTCACATATAGGTCACATTTTGTCTATTGTTATTCTATTTATTTCCCCAAATCTAAAGTCTAAAATTCATTTGATATCTTTACCATATCTTCTCCAACACAAACAAGATAGTTTGTAGACACAATTAAAAGATATATGTTCGTCTATATGATACCCAATTCCATTGACAATCCAGCATCACATGGAACATTAGAAGCCCGTCACAAGAAACTAGACCAATCCCAATGGCAAGCACGACTAGAAAGCCAAGTGATTATGAGAACCTAAAATTTATGATTGGAACTCTGACTCAAAAGTGAGTATCTAAGATTCATAAAAGACACTAGAACTCAAAAAGTGAGTATCTTAGATTCATAAAAGAAACTATAACTCAAAAAGTGAGTATCTAAGATCCATGATCAGACCGTAAGACTCAAAGGATCGCCAATCTCACATATATCCTCCATGTAAAATTTAGAAACAAATCACTGAAAAAGTAAAAAGATACAAATATTTGCCCTAAAACGTAATTCGCGGGAAAAAAGAAGAAGAAATCTTTGTTTCTTATGGTTTTTGCCCTGGCAGCGTACAGACAGAGAAAGCTATCAAGTGAGGAATTGAACTGATCGAAATCGATGCAGATCAGGCTTCAATTTAAACTAATTTTTTTTTTTTTTGTACTTGAAAGACTAAATTCTCTTACTTCCAATTTAATTTGATCATGAAAATAAAAACCTTATAATGAAAACTGCATCCAGGTTCGAGAATTTTCTAATCAGAAAACGAACATGTTCCATTTAATTTACAAATCAAACCGAAAAGTCTACTAATCAAACATCAATTATGTATAAACGAAATAGAGATCCAAACAAGGACTGAATGGAATTAAAGGAGAAATTAGAAATCGAGGCAGAAAAAAGACCTGAAGATACCGTCGAAACCGCTAAACAGAGTGGAGTTGCGCTGCAGGCGTTAGAAGATCGGAGAATGAATTTCGCTGTGCGATTTAACTATATTTTTTTTTTAATGTGGATTTTGATTTTGATGCCTCTGTTAAAAACTTATAGAGGAAGGAGGACACTCAATTAGGTCCGTGATTGCATCCTCTCGCCTGGCCTTCTGTCCGAAAACCACTAATTAATTA